ATTTAATTATTATATTTGTGTGTGTGTGTGTGTGTGTGTGTGTGTGTGTGTGTGTGTGTGTAATTATATATAATATCAAATAATAATATTCCTCTTATTAATTGTGGTTCTATAATTGATAAAGTCGCAACAATTCACTAAATAAGTTGATAATAATTAGGTATAATACAATATACGAATAAATCATGAATTTTTTTAATTTTACAAAATAAAGAGTTTTCAATCCAACGGCGCTTTTTTGAAGAAGCTATGCTTTATTTGATAATTTTAAATGCAAATCAAAATGAGTATTCATAAGATATACATGGAACTCCACAAGAGTTCATATTTTCTTTAAAATAAAAATTACAAATATCACCATAAAATTAGTAAATCTTTATGGAACACTTTAATAATACATATATGTATTATTATTATATTATAATATTATTATGTATAATATTAATAAATTAAAAATAAATTGACTGATTAATATTTTATAAATATTGACAATACTTGAGTATCCATATTTATGTATTTTTAAATTCACAAGCAATTCTTCTCATTAAATATTTTAAATGCATTCATATACATTATAATATGGCACATGCATTTATTTAGTATGATTGCAAATATAAATAAATATCGTAATATTCATTGTTTATAGTTACATTACTATAATGTTGCATGTTTCACCCCTTATCGTGATAAAAATATTCGCTATAGTCTATTAAAAGGATTAATTATTTGTTCATTTACTTTTACCTTCTCGTGTATGATTTTTTTTTCGTTATCGTTTTATTATACATTTAGTCAGTCTGTATTATATATTCAATGAAATATGTGCGGAATTTAATCGCCGAAATAATTTTAAAACAAAAGTATTAATGTCATTATCAACAGAAGAATAAATTAAATTTATAAAAAAATAAAAACCATTAACATAATTGAAAATATAATGACACTCAGGAGAAAACGAAACTTAGTTACAGTACATTAGTACATATACGAGTATATATTTACACACGTATCATTAAAATAGTAAATTTAAGTTAACCACAAACGTTTTAAAATTAACAGTAACCAACACACAACAATAGTATGTCGATATAACATACTTATTGGTGGTACATAAATAATTTTATTGTTGTTTGCTTTATAATAATGTACAGTCGAAAAGTCTTATTGATTTTTTGGAATCCTTGATGTCAAAAAATAAAAATACGCATTAAAAATACACTTTGGTACACATACACGTGTGTAGACACTTTTTGAACTTGATGTTGGTGTTTATAAAGCCGATATTACACTTTATACATAGGTACGTGCCTACATTTATGTACCTATACGATTTAATGAATCATAAGTTTGAATTACATCCGTATGCACCGAAGAAGATCTGAAATTTCATATGTAGCGATTTTGTACCGATTTTTGAAATCACGTACATTCTAGTAGAATGGTATGCATGCATACATAACTATTAGATCTGTAGAAATCTATATATACTAAATATATAAATAATATAAATATATATAAATATACAAATCATATACTCGTAATGTGTAGATAAATACTGCAGTATTTATCTACACATTACGAGTATATGAGTTCGTATTGAACTCAAATATTTCGAATAGCATTTGTCAAGTAGATTTTGAAATAATAATACATAATTTCTTCCTAGACGGAAAATATTAATAATGTTATTTAATATACTATATACATACCTACATAATATTATCAAGTACATATAAACTTAACTTTAATAAATTATTAAAATCAGTACTAGAAATATATATATTGTTTTATAAGAATAGATTTTTTCAGCAATTAATTATTTAATTATTTTTGCTGTCGATTATTTGATAAACTATATTAATATATGAGTGCCTCTTAAATATATAATATAACATATACCTTAATTAATTGTACATATTTTAAAACGATTTTTTCATCTATACCATTACTGTGGTATGAGCCCACGGTCATTTATCTATGTAAATATAGTGCTGTAAATTATAAGAAATGTTATAGGAACGTATTCTCGTATACATATTTTATAAGTCATATTGAACGTTTGCACTTCAGTTTACACAGACACACACACATATATATACATATTGCATTAATATACGGAACTCATACATAATATAAAAAATTTGTTTCTACCAATAAATGTAATCATCAATCGATACTTTCATACGGTATCAATACCGTACATACAAAAAAGTTTTTAATAATAAAATTAAGTATATTACCTCCGACGATTATAAATGTTTAAAAAAATCATTAATGAAGACTATAAGTTTATGTACACATCTATATCTTAATACATTTTTAATTTTATAAGCCCGGATGCGAATAATTAAGTTACAGTACTGCAGGGGCGTAATAAAAGAGGGGATGAGGGTGAAATATTTCCTTGTATAATATGTATATTTATTTATTAATTTGCGGCTCATGGCATTATGCGTTTCGTCGTGCTGACATCACGACGAAATATGTTAAATATAATTAAAATAAAGAAATCTATAAATAGGTATGCACATAGAAAATACTGATAATAAGAAACAACGACTGGAAACTGCAGCTAATAAGCCGAAAAAGTTATCATTTTATGTAGTTATTATTGTTGAGGTTGAAGGTTGACGTTGTAATATAAAATATTTTTATAATTGTGCACGAAGTGCTCAACGGTTACTACATTATAAATGCTTTTATAATATTATTATTAAATTTAAAATTGTTTTTTTTTTCTGTAACTGCAATTCTAACTCGTTATTATGGAAAATAAAAGAAAAAATACAATTCTATCTTTTTTTAAAAAAAAAAAAAAAGTTCTAATGAAGAATGATCATCATTTATCTAAAGATACTGAATATGCAATTAAAAAAGACCAATTAAATCCTACTTAATCCTGATGATGTGATTAACGAATTGGCTAAACAGGAAAGAAAATTAGAATTAATTTTATAAATAATACAAAAAAAGAGCTATATGTACATATTACAAACAAAATTAATTTAATATTTTAATAATAATTGTTTAATTTAAAAGTAAAATTAAATTTTAATATATTCAATATTTACATTTTGAAAAATTATAATATAGTATAGGTATTAAATTGTGTAGAATTTTAAAAACAACATTTATTAATACAACATATCTAAGTATTTCGTGTGCAAAAAGATTCCTATCCCCCCTCCACTAAGACAAATTCCTAATTACGCCGCTGCAGTACTGGATACACCAATACTGCAAAATCTTGCTTTGTTATGTAATCATATGTAGATAAATTGACAAATGTATTGTAAAATTCCCAATATAAACTTTTTTTTAAACCCTTATATAAATATATTTTCCATAGTTATACAATATTATAGAACAGGGATGGCAAATCCATGACACGCGAAAATTTTTACTATTATATATTATATAATATATAATATTATAGGACCTATAATATAATATAAATAATTAACAAAACAATATTATTATAAT